CTCTCCAAGCTGACACCGGTCAGGGACAGTGAGCCAAGGTGGAGATGCCACCAAAGCGCTCCTCCCCTCCCCAGAATTCCTTAATGTCACCGCTCTGGGCCACGTCCCCTTGTGTTGCAGTATTAGCTGTGAAAATTCACTATTTAAGTATTTTAAAATCTGCTTGACAGGCAGCACAAAGGCTTTGCCCATTATACAGTTAGCAGCTTTATTATTTTTACAGTAATTATTTTCCCAGCAGCAGACTAGTTCCTTTTCTTACCTCTGGAGGTACAATTTAATGTTCTCTCTTCCCTTCTCATATTAATGGGAATCCAAAAAACTTATTAAAAATATATTAATTCCCAACCTTTTTTTTTTTAATATTGAAAAGGAGGTAGCATTGTCCCTTACTTAAGAGAAAAACCTTAAAACTCAGCTTGCCTATTGCTCTGAGTGCAATGGGACGCCAAGCAGCAGGCTAGCTTTAGGCTGACCTTCAGCATTATACTGAAAAAACTGGGTGCAGCTTGTAGGGGGGATTGCAAGGGAAAAAACCAACAGCAATAACAAAAAATCCCCCAAAATTCTTCTGTGAAGTCCACAGCAAAAGACAAGGCTTTCTGTAGAAAACAACCCACCCACCTGCTTTTGTTTTGGGCTGTCAATGCTGCTAAGTTCCCTCTCCAGAAATATTCTGACACACACTGTGCTCCAGGCCTCGGCAACTGTCGATATCAAAAACCTAAGCTAGGGTGAAAAGCTGTTAATAAAAGACTCAGCGAACTGACAGTAATAGCAGAAGAAAGCGCTGCTGCAAATCACTTTTCTCTAGATGGCAGATTTCCTGGGAAACAGGCCTGCCATCTTCTAAACCACACGCCAGAGCAAGGCTGCCAAGCCCAATGAGTGTATCAGCGCTGGTTGTGCACGAGCCTGGATTGAAGTACTGTGTTCTTTCGGCAGAAGCTGAGCAAAGCACCAGCGCCCAGCAAAACAGCAACGTTCAAGTCCTGTTGCTTACAGAGCGGTCAGCTTTGGCCTCATGTTTGATTCCCACCATTTATAGAAATTTATTTTACATGTGCTAAATACTAAAATAGATACAAATTGTATCCTTTAAGTGAGAGGCCAGCAAAAGTAAAATTACACAAGGCAGGCACCAGCAATATGGAAAAATCTCCTTTCAGAAGTGAATAAACAGGCACAAGTGATAAAGAGAAAAATCCAATCGAGCTAATCTGAAGTGTGTTAAATGACCAACCCGAGAAGTAATTTCAATGACAGCTCTAACGTGCACCAAAACCACTGGAATTTTCATGATGTAAGCACATGAATAGTATTATCTTTACTAGGAAGTAAAGTAAAAGTAAATTATGCACTAGATAGTTGAGATCGAAGGCTCTTGTCCAACAGATGCTGAAGAGAGAGGTAGTGTACTAGTCAGCAGGTCATTGGGTAACGGCTTGGTGAGACTGTCCTGGCTGCACTTTTCAGAAACAGAGAAGTTACAAACTCAGCAGACCCTAGGGCAAGCCAGACACACCCTCTCCTGCACTTCAGAATCCTCACTTTGCTACATTTTACATAAATATGAAGCTTATCGGAGTAAAGCTTAGCAAAGTAATTGTTAAATTAAATCTGATTATAAGCTTTATTTTTCTTCCCTGTTTAGGATTCTAACTCTAATGGCAATATCTAACCTCTACAATAAATTCAATTAATAGTAGTAGAGTTTAACACTTAATGTAGCAGCTACTTTACTGATAGCGCATAAAAAAGACAAAGGATTGTCTGATAAAGCCCTTAAGAAAAGCCAGCTAAAGCAGTTCTGTTAAGCTGTGCCAGGAAAACTGTCAGGTTTGGGGTTTTTTTGTACTTAAAACTACAGAGTTGAATGAAAAAAAACAAAACAAACAAACAAAAAAAAAACCAAGAAAACCAAAACCCTCCACTCAAACCAAAAGCATTTTTCTGGGAGACACTGTCTAGATTTTGTGCTGACTCCAAGTTGTTTAAAAATTAGGACTATTTCCAATGAAAACAACACACATGCTGACTTGTAGAAGGGTCTTTTCCGGAAGCAGAAAGAGTTAACAAACCTCCACACACTGCATGCCCATGAAAATACCCATTTAAAAAAAAAAAAAAAAGAAAAATACAAGGAATTAAATGACAAAAGCACCTCCTCTTTATTAAAACTTTTCAAGTTACAATGACAAATGGTGGATTGTCACTTTCTGTGATTAGTGAGTTTGGCTCTTACACCAGTCACCAAATTTACAGGGGAGTTCTGTTACAGGTTTTCTGTACAACCGTTTGTGCTGCCGCGTGGCAGTCCACCACGGAGTACTCCTCTAACAGTCCGTAGTACCGTCACACCTCTGAAGTGCTTCAGAAAAGTTTTATTTGGTAACTGCTCACACACCATTTCCTTTCATTGCTAAGTAAAAAAATTGATTAATTCAGTTATTGAACAATACCATGTAACGATACCAAAAGCAAATACAATTCAATAATTTGGGATTCAAACCCTCCCCCCCTACCCTCAAGAAGTCACACTATAAAAAAAAAAAAGTATTCCTATTCCACCCTTAAACTTTTGTATGGCAGTTGAACTCTCTCACAGAAATTGGTGTGGGGTTTTTTTTGTCTACTTGGATCCTGTAGATAGCAGAGCAATCAGTCCAGACGATGCACTTATAGAATTTTTTTTTGGAAAAGGTTAAGGACATGTACTTGTAAAGATCCCACTTCTTTTGTACAGAACATTTAGCAGAAGTTTTATGAAAAACAAGGGACTGAAGGAGTTTTCAAATTGCAATGTAGTGACCTGAAATACAGCTTACAATTCAGGTGTCAGCAGGACGCTGAAATGTACTTAACTTTAAGACACTCAAAGTTTAGCCTGGTCTCTTAAAAGCAGTTATAAAATACTGTTAAATAACACAGATCTTTAATTAACACACATGGCCCTGATTGGCAGTACTTATTTACTTAAGTAACAAAAAGTGTTACTTGTGAATTTGATGAAACTATCCTGTAAGGTAAGAGCCCCGGGCAACTAACCCTGAAGGACAATGAGTAGGAACAGGACTCTGGCTGTTTCAAGCCTGATAACAAAGGATACACAGTGGGGTTGAAGTTCTTCAGCACAAAAAATGAAGCAATGATGACCAAGACCAGAAAGAGAGTATTGTTGTAGAAGATGGAAAAAGTTGTTGCTTCATAATCTGCAACTTCATTTTTCTTCCACAGAATTCTAGGAACAAGTAGAGACATTATTTCAGGTAGATTTAAACGGATGCATATGCTGGCACACCCACCATTATGAAGCAATTGACACCCAGAGGTGTAGTAAACCACATTTTGCTGTTCATGTCAGAGCCAGCTTCTAAAAGACAGAGTACAGTTTGCTTTGTTTTGCAGCTCAAGGGCTGAGAGGTTGCCTTACAGGACCTTTCTGATGAAGGTTTCAATGTTTGGGACCTTTCATTGATAGCTTGCCTCAAAAAGGCTTTACAGGTGAACAAAGATCTGACAGTATGGCTTCTACTTACCAGAATACAGGAAAAAAAAAAAAAAAAAGGCCAAGCAACAGTCCCTAACATCTTACCTAGAGCCTTACAGCTACCTGTCAGTATTACAACAAGGGAGAGGACAAAGAGGATTACCTTTCATCCTTCTCCTTCCGTGACATCTTCCTATTGTCTGCCTCAGACAGCTTACGAGTAACTTCTTTGGAAACAGCATCTTCTCTTTTCTGTGCTACTCTGTAACAAACACCATTTATGTTAAAAGTTGAGAAATGAAAAAAAAACAAAACCCACAAACAACCCAATCCTGGGATGCTGTGAAGTTGTATTTACAGTGAAAAATAAAACTTTGCCAAGTCACTGAACAGTTTTGCCAAGCTGAAGGGACAAGTAGTAATAATGAAATGACTAAAAGTATTAGTCAAGTACAGTTTGTGGCAATACCCACTCAGAATGAAGGTAGTTTTGCTAATTCATTGTATTCTTAGCTGACACGGACAGACAATTCCATAATGACAAGAGAGATGAGAGAAACCAATTAGGAGACACTTTTGTTAAAATATTTAATAATAAATTCTACTTTAAATAGCCACCAAACTTACTTGTGTTTGAGAACAAACTTGACATTCTTATATGCAAAAGCTACTAGGTAGGTACTGATGAGGGTCATGACGCTATACAGGACTGCAGACTGAACAAGATCCATGTGCCATATTCTCCAGTAAAGCCCTTGAAAAAAGAAAAAAAAAGACATTTTGAGTGACTTCTTTTTCCAATAAAAATCCCCCCCCAGGAGCCTTATGCAGCACACTAGCTCAGTAATTCGGCACTGGCTCTGCCAGACCAAGGCCAATTCCTGCAAAATCACTTGGGGGGGCCTTCAAACTGCATGAAGAAATATTTTCGCTCTGAGAAATCTGCTCTGCTCGTGGCTGAAAGGGGCCTTTACGAGACCACGTCAGCCTGGGCTGGGCAGCAGCCAGCTTCCCACTGCGCTGAGGCTGACACGTCAGTGCTTCCTCAGCCCCCCGTCCATCCTTACAGACCTCAGAACC